TTTATAAAGATTTCATCTACYTATCTTCCTTATCACTTAAAAGTAATCGTTCATAAATGGTCATAATAATATACCTAAAATGCACAAACATACAACTCATTTTACTTATATGACATTACAGATTACAATTTGTTTAAAATAAATTACACACAGCTAGGTTGGTTTTGTACAGRTAAGATGAGTTTTGCAAAAGCGAGAGACTTTAATATGCAATAAAGTAATATTGTAATATTTAAATATCATCCTCCTCTAGAACTACGGATATTTTCTATTTATGAACTACCCTTGGCTCATGTACTTACTATAATAACATATTATATTATACTTAAATTCAAAGTAGATAAGAAACCTTTATGCCCATATCATGTTCAATGTATACAAYATAGGTTGGCCACACGATGTTCTTTTAGTACATATTATCTAAAATTTTGCTTGTATGTATRTACAGAGACGAAGAACGTGAGAAACCTGCGGTTGAACCTTGCGCCAAGTCCATCACGTCCTCGGACGATTCGACCAGACGACGGACGTCAAGCTCAAACGATTCAGTGCTGTCCGAATCCGCTGCTTCCGGTTACTCGTCGCCGCCGCTGGCCGACGTTCCGTGGCCACCGAACTCGGTGGGCTCCGGGACTGCGGCCGGAAGAAACTCTGCGTCGTCTTCGCCGCACCGCCGAGCCGTGGCCGACGCGCCCACTCACGAGGTACTTGAGACCACCGTCTGAGTCAAATGCATTTTACGTTTTATTCTGCCGATTTTTTTTTTGTTTKTTTTTTTTTTTTTAAATATTCTTACTCTGCCCACTCGTAGAGATATCGTAGTTTGAAAAAAGTTTTTTTCTTTTAAACTTAATTATTATTTTTTAATCGTAAATTAGTTTTCTTTTGAAAATCTCTTCTTCCGCATCCTTTGTTTTTTTTTTCGTGTAGTAAAATATTATTATACATAATATATTATATTATTATCGTAGACTTCGTGTGCATACCGTACATATAAATTTAATTTTAATTTTATGTACCCATAGTTGTGTATGTAACGACGATAATAATATATTGTATACGTAGATGTTTTGTTTTGTTAATGCGTAGAGGTACCTATAAATCTATATAAATTTCTACGAGTGTCTTGCGTGTGCGTTTGAGTGTTTTTACTACGAAAATCCCAGCCGGGAACGTTGTTATTACTTTTTATCACCTACATATTTACAGCATATTTACTGCTGTACTGATTTTATTTATTTACTAAGCATGATGGAATACATTATGAAACTTTATTATTGCGATTTAATTACTTGTTCTCAAACAATTTTTATCCAACGCCTGCTCACGAGCTTTGCATTTTCTGTGAGGCTTTTCACTCACTCTTGCTAGTCCGCTTTTAAAATCAAAAAAATCAAAGAAGCTCGCAGTTCGTTTTAACTCCAAAACAGACACTTGTGTGAATTATACTATTTATCCGAACGACACACTTATACCAACGCAATTATTACTGTATTATTATTATTATTATTATTATTTATTACTACCTAATAGTTTTAATTTATTTTTACTTGTAGATTTATTTATAATTAATATATAGATATGATTTCTACAGTGTTATATATAGTTAATTACGATATTGATGTAATTAAATCGTAGAATATTATCTCAGTACCATAGTCACAGGAATAAGTTATGTTCCAACATTTTAGTGTTTCGTGGACTTAGTAGGTTTATATCTAATATCTATATATTTTTTTATYATCGTTGTTTGCGCAACATATTATAATATTTTGTAAACCTCATGTAAAATTTTACGTAAAATATATATTTTAGGACATATAGGTGGTATAATATATTATATTATATTATATATTATATACATTTATATAATATTTTGTAAACATATTTTTTTTATTATTATTAAACGATATATGTCTGTATTTTATAATAAATCTGTCGGTTCCTTATTTTTCACCATGATGATGATGATGATAATGATAATAATAAAGTGCTTGTGCTTTTGGTCGACGGTTGCATTTTGCATGAACAATATGTAGACTGGACACACGACGACGACGTCGTGTTGTCTTGTTTCGTGCACGAACATTTTACTGGAAAAGTGCATCCGAGTGCACACGGCATAATACGCTTTTGSCCGCAGAGATGAATAATAACTATCATCGAACGCGTTGACCRCTAATATCGTTYGGACCTTATCACGTCGAGTGTAGATCGACAGTAACGATCCAACCGCAATATCGATTTATGACGTGCCCACTCGGGATCAATAGTGATCCACGTGATTCGATCGTTCTGTAAAAATCGAGTTCGATACATTTACTTTCGCACGCATATAATAGCTTATGATGACGAAAGACTTGTGTAGTAACCKTGTTGTTTACCGCGATAAATGCACGAAGTGACGTGTGRAGCAGTAAGTTGTTGAAAAAAAATAACAACAACAATAATWATAATAATAATATTCAGAAGAAACGACCATATAATTTGTATACTGTTGTATTGACTTATTTTGAGTCGAGAATTAAATATGGTCCGAAAAACAAGAGTTTCCGGTGCATGGCGAATCGTAATATAGTTTGGTTGAAAGATTGTTGAAACGACTTATTGATCACTCTTGCTAAAGCCATTGTGCATTCGGCGTAGGTATAACGGAGAGAAAAAAAAATCACAAACAATATTGAAAAGTAATGCACGATTGAAGAACTATTAATCAACTTGCTCTTCGATATATAATATGTGAACTATACAATTGCACTGTCTAAAAATCGTCCTAGATAATATACAACCAGTTTTGGGGAACATGCCGTTTACAGTGAACAAAATAAATACCTATAATATATACAGAGCAATTCACTAAGTATGCCCACTGGCATATTTTACTTAAAAATGCGTTAATATAATAATCTGATTTTTGGAGTTTTCGAGTATAATTATACTTTAGAATCATATCTTAAAATGCTTAGATTTTTTTTCATTATTCAATTATTTAGTGGTTCCCAAGTTTTTTTTCTTCAAATAAGAACCAACCTTTAATGTTAATGATTCTCTAAATAAAAAAATTAAATACAGGTTTCTAATCTACTAAACTGTCTGCACTTACTAAAATTAATTATTATAGTGCTTAATGAAAGCTTTGAATAAAATATAAAATATATGTTCTACAATATTAAGATTAATTCAAAAAATGAAACAATAATTTTTGTAATAATATTATTTCTGACTGTATAACATAATGTTATTTTTAAGTAGAAAATGTATTATAATGTTTATCATAGGCGTAATAAATGTATGCGAGTTAAAAAAAGATAGATCATGAGTTGTATAATTTTAGATAAAAACCATTCATTGACGACACTTTAAATTTGATTTGAATGTATAACATGAAAAATATAAATAGTTATTCATTTTTAGGTTATTAAAATATGCCATATTTCTACTAAAAATATATATAAGTCGAGTAAAAAAATCAATATTATTGGCTGATTGCAAGTACCTATAACCCATATTTAAAATACTATAAAATGTATTAATGTAAAGTTAAAAAAAAAAACTTGCTACAGGGTATACAGGTTTCCCCTGACCAGGGGAATTTAACCCAGCATTGCATAGAACTAATATTATAATATTATCTTTAGTCCTTTGGATCTACACTTATTTAAAAATAATTCTTAAGTTCCTCATTGGATTTTTTTTTTTTGGACAGTAAACATTTTAAAAAAAATTATCTGCATTCATCTTTGAAAATATAGTCTCATCGTGTGGACATACTAATAAAAGTATCAGATTTTGAATAGCCTAATTACTGTTGCAGGAAAAACGGAAGTGACATGCTTAGTGAACGTGTAATATGTATGTACCTATACATGTTATACAAACGTCAGTAGCGTATTATAGCTGTAGTAGAAACGAAAACTGTTCGCGAACCTGCCCGATGATTTATGCATAATGTTGTTGTCAAAAGTTTCTTTCGTCGCGAAGTCCCTCAGGGATCCGAAACAYTCGAAATACAGCCAAATGATATAAAGCACCACCTCCTGACGACTATAGTGAGTGGCGGTGGCTGTGTCATCCTGTCAATTTGCAGCTGCAGTCGGGACGACGTCTAAACAATGCGGACCAGCATTGAACGCACTGCAACGCCGTACCTAATTAGGATTATTGTACGATAGTGCACCTTGTCATTTAACKTCTGCATATTTATATCATCGCATGCTGCTCATTAACTACGGTCGGCGTTCCAGATTTTCGTAATGCCAGAGCGATGTCTGTATATTATTATTATTTCATATAGTTCATTTCTTTAGTTTCGACCGCCGAAAATCGAGAATAGCAATCGCACCAGGACCACTATAAATTATTATCGATACAGATTGAACTCAATATTATACCATAATAATAATAATACGTCACTCGYTACAGTAATCCCCGCTCCATGCACCAATGCATGACAAGTCTTTAATGTGTGTTAGAAAACGTCGAAACATAAAACAATTATGTTCTGCGTCTGTCGTTTCGCAGTGACTTATGAAACGAGATGCGCATAACTGAGCTCGGAATTTGAAAAAAAAAAAAATTGATATATTTTTAGAAAAACGTGACACCGCGACGGGACTGCAGTTTTAGCTGCATCGCGCCTTGCGATAATGCGAGCATATTATTCTGATAGAGCTGCTGCAGTAGTAGTKTTATAATCTMTGTAACCTCTCGACGACAACGTGAAGTAATAACCGATTACCGTTGTATTGTTACCAGTTTGCCACGCTGCCGCCGCACAGTCGATCTTAACTCCGGAAATGATTTACAAGGCTTCACTCGCGCCGTCATCGCGGGTCACGAAGCCGACAGATTAACGTTATAGGACGGCCGCAACAATGCGTCGTTTAATCACTATACCGGCGAATAAAGAAATAAAATAATACAATGAGTGTATAGGCGTGCTCCTCAGTTCCACAACTGCGGCCGATACGTTCGAAAAAAAAAACGTGTATAATATTAATATCGTAATCCCTCGCAAGAAGAAGACAATATCATACACGCGCCGGTTTATTGTCTGCGAACCGATGCGATATTCTGTCGGCGTGCCTATGATATCATGATATTATACCGACATGTTATATACCGTTGTTGAGCTCACATAATAGTATGACGTACCATATACCAGGTGGCAGGACGGGGTCATTTCGCAGAGGAGTACCGAGGAATACTTTTATTATTCGTGCTGCCCTTCGTTTTGTACGAATTAAAAAAAAAAAAATCCTTAACGTTTTTAAATTATTTAGTATGGGTCGTAGATCTCGGTGCCCTTAGAATGTGCTCGCGGTGCACAGTTTGGAAACCGCTGATTGCTGGTAATCTATCTAACGTTTTTGTATAGGGTGATTTACCTAGTATGCCTACTCGAAATATTACGACGTTTCCTATGAGATTTCTAAATCATTTGAGGAATATTATTTAGGAATTTCCTGTGTCAACACCGACAGTTGTGGTTTTTTTTTCCAAACGAGTACCACCTTTTTACTTTAAATTATTTAATACCTAAGTGATTTTTAGTTCTCATTTTTAAAATAGAAGTCTTTACCGTTTATCACCACAAGGACAATTATATTATGGAAGGTGGAAAAAATATCGATCATTCCAAAGTAAGGTTTAAACATCTTGTTGATTAAAAATTCCAAAAATCTGATCTGGAATGACTGGACTGTGAAAGAAAAAAAAAATGTGCATTATTATTGAATCGTCTTTTGTATATTATATTCCGCGGGTGCATAACGTTAGTGCACTTTACCGTTAAGTATTTATTGTCTTGATGTATATTGTCGAAGTTTAAAAATGTACGAATATAATATTATACAGGTTGACAGGGTGTAACTGGAAAACCTGACAAATTTAACAATAATGACTATTGTTCTGATTTAATTTTTTAATGTTTTCACGTAGGTATATTTTAATTTCTTGACTCTTGAGCTACATGCGTAGGTACCTAATTTAATATTTTTTTTTACCTAAAATAAAAATTTGTTTTAATTTTACTATGAAAAATTAAAAATATCCAATTTGTAAATTTGAATTTTAGAAAACTAACGTGACACTAATCGCAATTTATTTTTATCATGCGTTTATGCTGTGGTGGATTTGTAGCGATATTTTTTCTCCTTGTAATTTGTAAGAAATGGTTTTTTGAGTTTTTTCTTTAGTTTAATGTTCAAATCGCGTATTTAAGTAGTCTACTTTTGTCTTGCATGTTTTGCTTCTTTAGATATTTAGTTAAGTTTGTCTGCATTTTATTTACACGCCYAAATAAAATAACTAAATCGACCTTACGCTACACGTTGTAATTATGTGATATTTAATTTCCTAGATTGTTTATTTTTTCATACACTAAATCTTTGTGAGCAAATTTTAAATTATCATCCATTATTGTTCATGTTTTTTTTTTCAAATTTAAAGTATTGCAAACGTATTAATTATGATGTGTACACAATTCGTGCGAGAGTTTAGCATAATGTTTTCAGTACAGTACAAAGACGTGTTTGTCTGGTTATTTTTTTGTTTAAATAGTTCGAGTATTTCTATTTAGTTTAAAATATTATTTTATGAGTGTTATAAATCATAAAGACAAATCGTAAAATATGCAAACATCTTTACACATAGATTTCGGTTATATTCGACTTACCCCTTACGATTTTATTTGTTAATTTTTTACTATTGAAACAATCCCACCTACGTAAAACATAAAATCGTTTTCTATGCATTTTTTCGTGCCATATTAAGATCTTTAAACACAATTTCATAGACCAAACATAAATAGTAGTTTTTATTATTTAAACTACCGTCCGATAGAATGATGTCTGGCTTGACACCGTTTTGGAATTTCGTTTTTTTTTTTCATTCTAAATTTATCGCTTTTATTATTATTATCGTACTTGCATGTAAGTACTTGTAGCAGAAGTATTATAGTAGTAGTAGTAGTTGTAGCTGTGACAGTTGCTTTAAGCATTCATCTGCTGTGACCRCTATCACATTTATCGTATATTACATTATTAATATTTTTTATTGAAATTAAAACTGTACGTTGTCCTGATGACTTAACTATGCAATAACGAGTCTGGGTGTGGGCGTGTGCGTGTGACGTTTTACAGATGGGCAGCACCGACAGCTTGGACTCGGGCAAGGACTCGGCGTTAGACGAACAGTCGCCACTGCACGATGGCATGCCAAAGATCCCCTGCAGGCAGCAGCCGCCGATCGCGGAAGGGCGCCGGAAACGAGCGGAAAAGTACTCGACGTCGTCGCCGCCACCGGTTGCTGCTCGCGAACACCACAACCGGTCAAAGTCGGCAGACTGCTGTGGCGTCAGTGCCGGCGACGATGACGGTTCGCGGGCCAAGACCCACGCCAAAAGCCTGAGCGTGGGCGACGACTCGTTCGACCACAAGATCCARCTGTGGCGGAAGCGGGCCGACTCGCAGGGATCCATCGACCGGAAACCGCTGCCCGCCGTCCGGCACCAGCTTCAGCAGCACTCCGTCGACACGAAGGCTCCGGGCGGAGCCCCCGATCTGGTCATGGACCTTCCGGCCAGGACTTCCGGCTGCGCGGTGACTCCGCAGGACGCGGCAGCCACCGCCGCGGCTCAAGAACCCGACAGCCCGGACATGGGCACGGCCGCAGAGCGTTTCGCCAAGCAGAACCAATGCACGTTGAAAAAGTACAGCAAACCATTGCCCGCCGTCCCACAGCTGGCCAACGGCGGCGGCGACAAGCCCGAACTTCCGCCCAAGTTGACCAAGCCTCCGCTCAAGGCCAAGCCGCAGATATTCAAAAAACCTGTCTTTCTCGCGTCCGGAAAAGTCAATAACGACGGACCGATGCCACCACACCATCCTTAGTAGTATCTACGTTCATCTATTCCTATACCGGATACGACCGCGACCTGTAGTGGGACTTCCAGTATTGGTTTCCTAGTGCAAAACTGTGTCGACGACCTCCATCCCACAAATAAGGATATATATATTATATTGTACGATCGCCTACAACGAATATTATAACGTTAATTATTTCATTTTTTTTTTTTTTGCATACCATTTAAGTAGGGATCCACCCACTAAAGCGACTGTTCTTCCCTGTGATCTTTCTTAGTTATGTTACCGCAAACACTCGTCAACCCGTCGCCTTTAACCGTGGGCTATACAGTTTGCTCACAATTTTGTTGGCCAATCAGAATTTGACTTTTGGTACAACGGTCGTCCCTGCAGTATCATCACCACGTAATATAATAGGTACCRCTTAGCAGTCGCCATTGTTGACGCGATCGTTTCATATAATATCCAAAAAAAACATTACGCGTGTAGCCTATTACATAATAGTAGTGCTATGTCCTAAGAATATTTCTAATCTTCGACAAACGGTCATTCCTTTTTCAAACCATTCTTWTTAAAATATTTATAACATATTTATTTATTTAAACATTATTTTTTAATCGATATTATGATACCATACTAATTTTACGATACTATTACAATACGTCATTTTTTAGTAAGTAATTTAAATATTCTATGTGTGCATTTAAACGTCGTTCGCGTGAGTGTGTGCAGTTGCCTACGTACCCGAGTGTTTTACACGAAAACATGATATACAAACAAGAATCATAGCATATTTTATTGAATCGAACCTGATCTCATGTATTATAACAATATAATAAGTATAAACCAATAATTGTTATCCAAAGTTACTGTATTAGATTCTGCGGACGGAGTTTTTACGCGGCAACGCGAAGGCCTATAATGATAATAYGATATATTTATTAATTTTTTCGATCACGCTCAAATCGCGTCCGAATACTGAATAATAATAATATTATATAATATGTGTATGTAAACGTAATTTACAAGCGCCCGTTTGGCTTGTTCGGACATTTTTCGATCGAGACCGTTGTGAATGGCACTCAATCTGAAACGRTCTCGGCGAGACCTGCCACGAACGTCTGAATTCCGAGAGGATCGCACCGCGCCCGCTCCCACGTGGACAATAAAAACGTAATGAATTGTCGAGCTCATTGAATTGCGTCGAGACTGAAAATATTTTCGTGCTTTTACCCTTTTTAAGAGTGGAACGAGACTGATTGTATTAGAATTTTATGAAGAGATCATGATAATAATATAATATAATAATATGTGATTTGTAGATTTTGTTTAGTGCGCGGAATTCGAGGGAAAAAATGTAAGTCAAACTTTATAATACAGATTTAAGTGATGCCCAAATTTTGTGTTCCGTTTTCAACCAATCTGTTCGYGCGTGTAATATGTATATAATAYTGTTTACTCCTCGTTGTAAGGTACCTAGCTACAATGTTCTCATCAGGACACCAACGACGTCACACTGAAAAATTACAACAATAATCAATATATTAGTTTTTGGGCGCAGATACTAAGGGACGAGGGCCATATTTTATAGGACCTAGATACAATAACGTTAACCCGGCGCCCAACGAATTGTATAACATGTATGATGAAATTATTTCGTTTTGTATTACGCTATTCCCATATATTGTATTATATTAATTATTAGACACTAGACATATGTAATATATAATATACACATTCCCATCTGAACGGCCCTCTTCCCATTTTTTGATCCTGGTTCCGTGCCAGTATTTGTTTCCACTGCGATATTTTATAAATCGCATTCGTTTTAAATATTATATTATATACCTTTTTAATATTACATATATGTTTAATATTATTATATATTATATCTAAGCGTACTTCCAGAAAAGATTTTGCGTACTTGCATCAAAATCGTATTATTATTATTATTTTTTTAAATTGTTGTAATATTATTTTTACCGTTATTATTGTCATTATATTTTTTATGTTGCAATACTTTGGACGGGTAAATTATGTTAACGTGTGTATAACGACTTGTAAACGCCAACACATTGGCCAACCGAAATGTATTTTCCATTTTGATATTGTTTTGAAACCGTTATTTTATACATAAATTCATTATTTTATGTCGACAGGGTGATACCATAAACATACTCGTCCTCCGCCAAAATATGAGATTGATGTATTATTGTTCTACCCATAAAAGTATTTTTTTAAAACGATTATTATTATTATTATCATTGCATTATTGATATAATTATGTTATGATCCGCGTATAAAATTCTAAAACAAAGAAATTTATTTTTTACGCTAAAAAAAAAAAAAACGTTTGATATTGTCGAAATATATCCCCCACCTCCGGGTGACGTTCCGACGAAATATAACAAAATCATTATTTTCGTCCCTATATTAATTATAATAATATTACCTACGTGACGTATATAATATAGTTCAATGCCCAATCGGTTGCCAAACGTTCCCCTATTTTTGTACGCGCCAAATGTCTTGTTTTTATTTATATAAAATAAGTATGTAAGTTATGTCCCAGTGCTCTATATCTCATTCTCTCTCCAACTGTCATTGTGCATCTGTCTATTATCTCTCTCCGTACATGTTTAAAGTATTTAATAAATTACATTATATTATATTGATAAGCGTGCGTGCATTTGTAACCCAGTGCGTGTGTGTGTGTGTGTTTATACATTGTTATCGTTGTCAGCATCCTGAAACGAGTATTGATTGTGCAAAGATACGACGTATGTAATCCGAAAATGTAGTTAAATCGAATCGTCGTATCATGTATCGAGCACCGCAAATGGACACCTGTCCTACTGCGTTGTAGTCATTGCACTGTGTTTAGGATTTTTTTCGACTTTTAGTTTTGATGATCCTAATCGCTGGTATTCTTCGTTTTTCTTCCAACACACTTTATCGATGGCGGTCTTCAGTACATCCTCCATTTTTTCAACTTTTTACATTATTTTGTTTTGTCAATAAATAAATTAGTTAATTAAAAATCATTCAACCAAATTCAGAGCCTTTTTGAAAAGAAAATTAACACTTCAGTTATATATCATACATTAAACATAAAATTAATACACGTAGATCTAGTATTAATATTATACTTTTTTCGCTCGATTATCGACAAGCGTTTTACCGATCGAACAGTGATTGTGTTCCCTGCTCTACTCTCTGTTAATGATTACAATGGGCTTTTCGTAGATCGTATTGTTTTATGGAAGAAGATCGAGAAACGACGGACGCTTATATGAGAAATGGTAATTATAATCGTGTTGAAAACTTTTCCTTTGTACAACGCCCATAAGTTGTGAACCAATCGAAGGCCACGTGTTTCCTGATTTCTTTTTAATCCTTGATTAAAAAAGTCTGTCTGACTTACACTTTTTACGTATTCTTGCCGGGCGCTCTTATTATATATATATATATACATAAACCTACTATTCTACATATTATTTTTTGTGTACGTTTTCACGTTATTATTTGACTTGCACACACACACACAGATTACCGACGAGTGACGAGTAAGTTTATAACGCACGATACCGTTGCATACAAAAATGCCGACTATTATTATTATTATTATTTTATACCGTTGTCGACAAAAACGCCTGGCACGTGCGATACGCCTTCCATCAGTCGTCTTCTGATAATAATAACGTCGCGTAGTCGTTGGATTCGAGTGTGCTTTGAACCCCTTTTGCACTGAAAGAGGGAGTACACAAAGTCAGATGCTTATTATTACTATTATCATCTTCATTACACGTGGACAGTGTCTGTGTGTATACTCGTGTGTGTGTGTGTGTGTGTGTGTGTGTAAGACGATATCATAAATTAACAAAGCGTGTAATTGCGGACTACGATCATATTATATAAACCATATACCACGGGGTGCGCACAAGTACATATTAATATAATCATTCATAATAATATTACAATAATTATTTGTATATAATAATACACGCCATACGATGTTAATATGACAAAAAATGTTAACGAAAATGTTATTACTTTCAAATAAAACTAATTATTATACAGTACCTATATCCATGTATTATATTTGTCGTCGAGCGATGTTGTATATTTTATTTGTTTATTTATTGTGTACTATACGCAGTATCATCTAAGTACTTGTTCGTTTAACGCAGTGCCATTGCTGCGTTGTTAGATTTTTTTAATGTATGTGCCTAGATTATAGTCATGAACCATAATATACTACTCAAGTCATAAGTTATAGGTATTTTTTCTCGACATGATCACCGTCGACGTAAGAATATTCTTTTAAATGGCCGGCCATTAAACGTCTTTGGCACGAAGAACGTTTTTTAAAATAAAAATAATAACGATAATGATTAAAACGTTCGATTATACGTCAAGTCGACTGCCGATTCTGTTTTTGGACGTCGAAAAGAAATCCTCCGTCGTGCGTCCGGTGCAGTATCACCAAGGATCGGCGTCCGGCAGGACGAGTGAGAGAAGGGCTATAATAATATTATGTATAACATAGTTTTGATTTATTAAACCGTATAGCTCGCGAGAGACGAACCGTCTTTGGCTTTGAGCTGCGGATGGGTAGACGCGTACGTTATAATAATATAATAATATATATATAGGGAGAGAGAGAGAGAGTTTTGAAGATGATGAATCGTTTGCGCGCGGTGAGCACGACTGCGCTAACTACGGTGGCGGTGGCTGTGGTGGAGGACAAAAACCCGCGAAACTTTGACACCTTAAGACCGGAGACCGGAAGACATTTCGACGTTGGGGTCGACCGGCGGGATGTAAGTAAGTATACGGCGGCAATAAAACACGACTGCGCCAATAATTAATTATATTATATTTCGCATTATGTTGTATAAAATTTATATATATATATATATATATATATATATTATTATAATACGCGTTGGGTAGTTTGACGGACGGATTATAAGCGCGGGAAAACAACTGGTCGCGGTGATATTATATTACGGCGGCACGGGCAACACCCAACTGCATGTTATATTGTTTCTCGTCGGATGAGCAATTAATAATAATAATTAGGTATCACAAAAAAAATATGTATTTTTTTTGTTTTTTTTTTTTATGTAAACGACAACTAACTATAGGCACGAACGAGTGTGCGAGACCACCGCCACATTCCTACGCGACGTGAATCCGGTCGCGTATCCGAGACCGGTTAAACGGGTGACGCGATTCTATGGGTAAATGTGATTTTTTTATGATTATTGTTCTTGGTGCAACATCAACTCTGGGTTAGTAGTAAACACCAAAATAAATGTTACCTATAAACATATAAATAAATACAACGGTTTTCATGGATTAAGTTGTACATATATCAATACGTTTTAGAAATGTGATGATTTTGTCGGTGTGGTCTTCGTTTGTACTGTGTCCGTTTTTAAAGTGATCAAAAACAGGTAAAACTACGAATAGTACGTGCCACGTGCGTACGAATCATTCGATAGTTTATGACGTGGAAGATGCTAATTTATCATTACAGCCGTCAGAAATTCTTTTATTTTTTATTTTTTTATGAGAAACTTGTAGAAAGTAAGTACGTGTATGATATACTTTGGTCGGTACGCGATGCGCAGAACATGAGTATTTTTTTTAGTACAAGACAATATATACGTATGCAACCCTTTTAATAGATTATGTTTGGCCGTCGTACGGTCAAAATGACGTGTGTTCACTAATTTTGAATGTTAAAGTGCAGTACGGTATTTGCTTATTAGGTATTCAGGTATATATTGTATGGTAGTAGGTAGTATATACGTATCTAAATGTCCCGAAAACTTTTCGCCTTACTTTTCAACCGAGAYGAATTTTATTTTGAACATTGTGTATACGTACCTACTGATTAACACGATATTGAATTTAAGCCCTCAATACTTAATCATTGTTACCTACATATAATTAATTTGTATAATTGATTATAGGGGTTGTGTGTTAAAATGTATTTTTCATTAAAAAAAATMTAATAAAGGGATGCAATTACCCGCTTCCTGTTACACAATAATAGAACATGGTGGCGGAGAAAACTAATTTGTGCACCTAATAATGTTTTTCACACATTTTGTAACTCTCCGTTTGCTCAAAAAATTAAATTTCATAAACAATAAAATTCCATTTTTTGATGAATTTTAAAATAGTCTTTAATACTTCATGTATGTACACGRTGTACCATATGGATGATAAACTGAACAAAAAAACATAATATCAAAGTTTTAGTAGATAACGATATCCTCAACGATGAATAGTAAAGATAAACAATATACCATAAGGGATGAATAGTTTCGATATTAATGAATTTGGGAAATTAATAAAAGGAAATAAAGATHTCTGAAGTCTTAGTTTGTTGATAAATCTAAGGTTACAATCGACTAACTATAATGTCATAGTAAAATATGATTTGATAGAGTCTCTCGAGTTAAATTTATTAGACTAGGCGAAGAAAAAATTTAAAGGCGCTAATTTTAAATAATAAAAAATATAATACGTATTATATTTAGCGTRCGATTCATTAATGATTACTGATTAGCGTACAGTAATCGATGTTTTCAATTTTTTTTACCAACGAGGGAAGAAGTACCTTTAATACACATTGTATTCCAAACCGTTGTTATTATTATRTAGCAGAAAATATGTGTTTACTTTTTTTTTTTAAAGCGTAACTATTGTTTGTAAACKTTAGCGAAAGATGAAATTAATTGTCATTTAGGTAAATGTACGCAAACCAGAAACCCTAAAATATACAGTATTTGTCATGTATAACCTCTCTTCGTACGATGGTTAATATTTGAACTACTACAGCTGAAACTCCCAATAGAGTGAGTGTTATCAAAAATATCAACTCCGACCATTCAACGGACAGTACGCAATTATGTAATGGTATTGTTAATAACATATTATTATTGTAATTTAGTTTAGTGCAATATTAATACTAAATGCACTCAAATATTGTTCCAGACGAAGTATGAAAACAGGAATTGTACGAAGTGTCCAATAATTTTTATGATCAAAATAGGAAAATATAATTAATACGTACTTTACATTTCCTATAATTCCGTCCGGAATTTAACAGCACTATTTATTTATTTTATTTTTGAACATACCATGGAAGACGTTGTGCGTACACTTGTCATTTCCGTCTAACTTGGGCATAATGTTCGAAAATGGACGTCCAGTAGTTTCAATGGTGTGTTTTTAATTAAAATTTTATAGTGGATTGACCCTATCATCAAACTATGAAATGCACAGAAATTATCTGTGTTCTCTCTTGAGTTTTTTACGATATTTCTATTTATAAATTAACTGTGAGCGTTTTTAAATTATTTTATTTTACATGTTCATAATTCATTAAAAACCCAACGAGAAGACACAGACAAAGCTCTTTGATCTAAGTTTTTTAATTCGTCAATTTATTCTAATATTTAAATTTATAACGTAAAATTGGAACTACTGGAGGTACGTCGTACAATTTGGTATATTACGCGTTAGTTGTAAGGCGAAGACTGCAATAATACTACAATACATATGGATGCCAAGTGTTCTTAAGACTTAGATAAGTATTAGGTAATATGAGTTTTTTAACTATAGATGACAAACATCGACATTTGAMAAATGATTTAAAATGCAATCAAGCTGGAATAAAAATTATTTCTGAGAATCCCATTGGTTTTTAAATTACCCAAAATATGATTTTTTGATTTGATTTTCAACTCGTTTAGTTATTTGAGTACCTACTTATAATATATTTTTTTTCGCTGTTCAATTATAACTTAATTCAATAGAATTTTTATCTGCAATGTTCTTGGTAATCCTGTAAATTCTCAAACATAAGTGTTGTTTGTCAATCGATCGATTTTTCACTATAAATTACGGAGGCAGCATAAATCACGCCAATTTCGCGTACTGCAAAACGTTGAATCTTTATAATATACTTCGATAACACATATTTTCCGAGCTCAAATCCGCTACAATATTATGTACTGGCTAATCATCAGTCGTATG